CAGGAACACTTCAATATCAATGTAAACATCAAAATAATATTTGTAACAATAATTATACATTTAAATAATAAATGTAAACCTTTGAATACCATCCAATTCAATTTTGGGTCAGGTGACCAATGCTCAAAACACTGGTTTGGACATTCAAATATCACAAAACATAAAAAATAAATAAATAAAAATAAATAAATAAATATATATATATGAATGAATGAATGAATGAATGAATGAATGAATACTTTTTTTGGTTTTGTTTTGTTTTTAACATCAACATACTGGTGGCCAAAAGTTTGGAATAATTAAATTTTTTAATGTTTTCTTATGCTCCCCAATGCCACATTTATTTGATCAAAAATACAGTAAAAACAGTAATATTGTGAAATATTATTACCATACAAAAATCTTTACAATTATTTTTGTCTTTGGTGTTACATGTTCCTTCAGAAATCATGATTTGTTGCTCAAGAAACATTTCTTCTTATTATCTGCCTAATATTTTATGCTACATTTTTCCAGGATTCTCTGATGAATAGAAAGTTGAAAAGCACATAGGAACACAGGAAAGTGATTTTTGTGCATGCTCAGTATATTCCGTCAGGAACGCTGTCAGTGTTTGATGGATGAGTACAATGTTAGATAAATGAAAGGCTTCATATCTGTTTCTCTCTCTCTTTCTCTCCAATGAAATGGCTGCATTACTGGTGCAATTCGAAGAGCAGGATGGCAAATAATGTCGCCGCTCTGAAAACTTGGCATTCACAGACCTTTTACTGACACACATCGGAGGGCTGCGAGTGGCAGCGGGCAATTTTGCGAGCAAATACGCTCTCTAACCTATCTGTGCACCTGCCGCAAATGAAATATTCAAATCCACAGACTCCAGCGGTCAGTGTAGGTTATGAATTATTGACTCTTGGCGATTCATTCACATTTCTTATTTCATGAAGTGCAGAGGGTACTGTGTGTCTACACACAGATTCTGATTGGTGGAGAAATGGTGAAGTAATCAGTGGCGACCCCTCAGTAAAAGATACACTGGTATAAATTAGATCCAAACTACACAGAAATTTGAATAATTAGGTAGTCCTTCTTAATGAACAACCAAAAAAAAAAAAAAAAACTTATTATAATCAAACTGCACAAAAAAATGCAATAAAATACATAAAATGAAAAAAATAAAATGAAAAAATAAAACAAAATAAAATAAAATCATAACTGCTCAATGGAAATACATTACTACCAGATGTAAATAAATTAATACCAGGCCTTTACATGAGAAAAATGTTGAACTGGACTCTTATCCATAAGGATTTGAGCTAGGTTCTTATAAGAGTTCATAGTAATTTGAGACATCGGAAAGCCATTTCAGAGATGGAGCAAGTTGCAACATCTTTATGAAAGATTTCAAAGACAAAAATTTGGAAATAAACCCCACACAATAATTCTGATGATCAGAACAGCTTGACAGAAAATGGGGCAAAAATTTAATTTGTTGTTTAACATTTAAAATTGAAATATTATTTTAGAAATTTTCTGTGAAAAATAAAAAAATATGTAACAAAAATATATACATGATTTTCAAACAAATATTGAAATGGCTTGTTATTTCACTCTTTTTTTGAGATCATGATAGCTTTAAAAAATAATATTAATATTTAGTTAATATCAGTAATAATAGATTGTTATAGTTAAAGATTGAACGTTTGTGTTTGGGACAATCATAAAACAATAAAATCCAGACATTAAAAATGACATAAAACATAAAAATTGCACGTTGACCTTTGATGTGTTTTTCAAAAGGACAAATGAACAAATAAAAAGAAAAAAATAGAAAGTTGTAATCTGCAAAAACAAAAAGCCTACACGGTACAACAGTTTGCTGCAGTGAGGTACTAAAGCTGTTATGTGTGAATTAAAAAAAAATATTTAGTTTTCAGCTGATATCTGCTTTTCCGTCTCATAAATGGTGACATTTGACACGTCATGATGAGAAGCAATCATTCGGAGTAGGTCTGGAGTCATGAATGCTCGATCTCTTCAAGTAAAGCCCAGTTCAACCCCTTGGCTGGTGTTTTCAGATGAATACACTCAATCTATCCGTTTATGATCTCAGCATAGAGAAAAGCTTTTAATTAGCACGAGGCCTGATCAATCAGTCCAGGGCCGTCTGAAGCTTTAACGTGAAGAACATCCCTTCAGTTCTTAACACAAATATCGATGTCTGGAATTCAGCGGTGGAGCTTTAACACATGAGCGAGTCTTTTGTGGGAGTGTGACGGTGAAAGAGGGAGACGCTATTAATCTAGTTCCACACTCGTGTTTACAGTGCCTCCCTGAAACTCTGGGAACCATCCAGAACCGAGCTGAACAGAGAGACAACACTCCAGATGATGCCTTGTGTTAATGCATATGGGTGTTTCTTCAACTATATGACTTACAAAGAAAAGGAAACACTTTATTCACACTACTTTCATTTCTTTAGTAATAGCATCTAGTTTTATTTTCCCAAGCCATTTTTTTTCTGACCAAAACAAGCCATTTCCAACACATCTCAATTCATGCATTTCGTTTGAAGTGGAAATGATGATAAACATTAAGTTAAACGGCAGACTCATTTGTCTTACAAAGGCTAATTTCATTGCTAGTATTTTATATGTCCTAAATGCAAAATATTAAATAACATTTACAACATTTTTGCATTACTTGACCAAAGTATAGCTTGGCTGCAAATAAGGCAAAATTAAATATTCTGTTTTAATAATAATAATAATCAAATTATATTACATCTAATTAATGCAATAAAATAAAAATATAAATAACTTGCCTTGTTATTAATTTTATATAATTCTAAATTAATAATTCTATATTTTCCCGCATAGTAAATACTGCAATTGTTATTTCACACTTTGTTTAGATCATAATAGAATTATTCATCAAAATAGCAAAATTAATAATGATTAATTAATATGAATAGATATAGATGTATACATACTTTTTATGCAATAAAAGTATACATAATTTACCCTGTTTTTACTAGATAATTTAACTTAAAAATATTCATATTTTTAAAACAAGTATGCATCATTTTCCACATTAAATATTGAAAAGGCTTATTTCACTCTTTGTTTAGTACATGGCAGCTTAAATATATATATATATGTATAAAATATAAATAAAATAAAATAATATAAAATAAAATAAATTAAACGTAATTAATATCAATAGATTGTCACAGTTTAAGGTTGATGTGTCTGGAATAGTCATAAAACAATAAAAACATTATACATAAAAACACTCAAAAAATATATATTTTTATTAGCAACTTTTATTATTAATCATTAATACCTTAAATTTGGCAATTAAATAAGGTAATAAATTAAATGTAAAAAAAATAAAAATAAACAGTTTTAATTTAAAAAAGTGGAGTAGTTGAAGAAACATCCATATAGCTATATTTATCCATCATATCATAAAGATGAGGTCATCGCAAACATCACTGAGCTGCAAACGCTGGTGAAATTAATACCGCTATCTGCATGGCTAATTCCTGCCTACACCGCTCTATGACGCCTGGAGCACGAGAACATTTTATCATGTTATTTTTCTGAATAGTACTGATAAGGATTTAAAAATATCCTTGTGCTGAGGACTGAAGCTTCGTTCAGCTCTCTCAAAGACGGTAATGTTTTCCGTGCGTCACTTGAACTCCATCTTTCTCAAGGAAACGCACACAAAAAAATGGGGTCTTTCAAAAAAAAAATGCACAAAGACAACAAATGTCTTTCTCCGAGAGAAAGAAACAAGCATTGAAAGAGGAGAAAGAGAAGAAAAAGAAGAAAAAGCTACAGCTGTACTGTACGAGAGTGTCTCTCCATCTGTTCAGCTGCTGAGGAACTTGTATAATGGAGCATTATGGGAAGGGCTGTTATTCCGCTCGGCTCTGGATGGAAATGCTTCCCCACCATTTCTTATTAGGGCCAAGCAGCTGGGGCTCCCATTCAGAGTCGTGAACCGGCGTTTCATATTCTGTTTTCCTGTCTCGCAGATGTTAAAACAACATATCTGAGATTCCGGTTCGGGTCTTAAGACAAAAGCGGCGTGCGCCCACTCCCTCCTCACAAATGTGCCTTTATTTTGTCCGCATGCCGTAAATGCTTTTGATGGCTTTGTGAAATAAATTAACAGCAAATGACAAGCGATAAAATCAAGAACAATAGTGATCTACAGAGGGCCGCAAAAGTCCACATGGAAAATCTGGGATCCAAAATCAAATTTAAACCTGAATGTTGTACTTGAAAAAAATGTAAACATTATGAGACATTATATGCCAAATTGTCTCAAGAAAAAAAAAATCTCTCAACTAATGCTGTAAAATGTACATGAGAGTCAGTTGGTACTACATTACAAAATTACACTTAATGAAATTTTTAAAATAATAAAATTACAATTACATAATAATGTTTCAACTTCAATTCGGGTTATTTTTTTACATAAACAATGGTGGCTGTCATAAAAACTTGATGGATTTATTCAAACATAAATTAAACATTGAAGAACAGAAAAATGTATAATGAATATGTTATATGGTGCATATATTAAAAAACTTAACTCACATTGGATCCATTTAATGCATCTTTGCTGAGCAACAGTATTAATTTCTTACCAAAACTTTTGAACGGTATTGTATATATTTTTTTATAATCTGTTTTGGCAGACATTGCAAGTAGATTTGTTCCTTATTTTTTCTCAAAATAATTAAGTCGCAAGATAAATAACAAAATTTTCTACTGTACATTGCGAAAAAACATTATCGGCCAAATAAGATAAACACCGGCTATCAGTATCAGCCAAAATTCCTATTTTGGATAATCCCTGATAAACGAAAATAAAGAAAGAGCTGTCTAAAAGAGACAAAGCCTGTCCAATAGACATGCATATATTTTTCCTAGAATTAGTCGCCTCACCTCATCAGAATCGTTCACTTTCAGAATAATTCTCACCTGTTTGTCGCTCAGAAGATAGATGTACTGATAATCAGGATCGAACACCATGTCACGGAGAATCGGGCTTCCCTCCACAACGGGGACCGTCTCATACAGCAGAGCGTTCTCCGAAGGCGGCGGTATACCATCCACTCGAATCTGAAAACCAAATTAAAGACTGAGTTCAATTCAACATGAAATCACACGTTTCTTCGAAATCTGATTTTGAACGATCCCTCAGTGTGTCTTTGTAATCGTTCATTAACACATAACATTTCCATACCTCCTATACAATAAAATATGATTTTTCAAAGTCATAAAACCAAGATTAATGGAAAATACTATTTTAGTCTTTCTACTTCAATATTTCATGTTTAATTCACTGTTACTTGCAGTTTCTTTGTAATTTCTGACTAAAATTGTTTCACCACCTTTATTTTTTTCCAGTGAGACTCTCCCATCCAATCACTTTACTGTATTTTGTTATGCACCCGCCCACTTTTCAATCAAAACAAATAAAATCAAATCCCACCTTACATTATTTCCTCACTAAACATACTTAATCACACAAAAAAGCAGCATTTTCATAGTGTTTGATTTTAAATTCCAGGTATTTTACTGTGACTTTACCGCTCACAGTGTTTCTGGTTGGCGGCATATCATCACTTACACATCTGATTATCACTGACACATGCAGTATTATAATTTTCTTCATGAATGCAGAATTCTTTGGCTGACCTAGAAAACGAACGCAGAACTTTGAGCGAACGCGGCAGCGGAGAGAGATTACAGCGTCTGATCAGATGTGCGATAAAAATCAATTACATTTTAACAACACATACACACACACACACACTCGAACCCCCGCTGCCTCATCATTAGCGACTCCTCTGTTTCCTCACACTGATAATTAGTGTAGTTGAGCTTGCTGGGTAAAAAGCGAGCTCTAAATATGTCAAATTCAAAACATCTTTGAAGTGACGACTGAGGGGAAAAAACACAGAGAGCAGCTGACAACCGCATTTAAAGTCAGAGAGCTCACCTATTTCCCTACCCGCGGAACGTCAGCGTGCGCCTCGGTCCTAATCAATTCTGACAGCAATGTGATAGGAGATTGAAACCAAGCTGCAAGTAAACTAAATTCCCACCGAAAAGGTACGAAATGCCATTTGGGAAACGGCAGAGAGATCAAAATGAGAAGAAGAAGCGAAAGAAGGTGCGAGGTGGAGAAAAAAAACACCCGAAACAGATGCACTGGCAGCGGACTTGGGCCGTCTCCTAAATATCTGGGTCGGTCTGAAGTGACAAACATCGTTAGTCTGTTAATTAGCTGCCTCCTCATTGCAGCAGTTGCAGTAATTAGGGTTGACAAGGTGGCATCAATTAGTCGAAGGCTGCCATATTGGGTGTCACATATCGCCGGCCAAGTCAGAGCCCACGTCTCCCCGGGCAGCAGGACAGAAGGCCTAGAAACACGACGGACTCTGTCTGCGATTCGTCAATTCATGCGCCACCAGCTGTAGTGTCGTTTTTCGCCGCCTTTGGCTACAGAGTTCCCTAGTTTAAGCGGATCGGTTTAACACCAGCCGCCAGGTTTTGCGATACCCTCGTGGAATCGGATCAATTCGTGAAAGTAGAAAGCAGCTCAATGGAAAAAGAGAGACGTTGTGTATCGTTCACAATTGAATTGATTCGAATACACTTAAAGAGACAGTTCAACCAAAAATAAAAATCAACTTAACACATAGTTAACTAACCTCCATGTCAACCTGTATGAGTTTCCTTCAGTGCAAACAGAAAAGAAGACAGTAGGGCTTCAATAGGGCCCAAGCATCAGTGAACCATATTGAAGGTAAATTAAAAAAAAATAAAAATCACACTTTAAAAAAAAAAAAATGTTCACGAACGTCTTACAGGTTCACATTTATGGAAGAGAACATCACAAAGAGAACTAAATTTACGACTAGTTTAAACAGCGGAGGCTGCTCGGTGTCTGATACGGGCTGATGATCTGACAGAACACAAAAACAACAGTCACGTTGAGCTTCGTTTATAGAACATCTACGTTGGTCAAACTCCAAGGAAACCATCTGTGGGTACTTCATGTGAATCTTGCAAACAAATCCAGATGCTGAGAATATATTCTAGCAGCATCTGTGTCATAAACTGCATTTAATTTGTTTACTAAACAATTTTTTTTAATGTAAAATATCACTTTCAGATTACACACACACACACACACACACAGTTTGTTAAAAAATTCTTAAATATTTTAGTGAATTTTTGGTTTTTTCTTACTTTCTAATTTTTATCATATTTGTCTAATTCAATTAAAAGATTCAAAAGTAATATTATATAAATTATATATATATATATATATAAAATTACAATTTATCAGATTTACTATCATATGTAAACACACAGATATACTTATATGTACATATACTTATATGTGTATATATATATATGCACTATATAAATATATTTATAAATATATACACACACACAGTATACATACAATTTAAACAATTAACATACAATTTAAAATATTATATTTAAAATTTTATTTTATTTATATACAGTATATTCACACACACACACACACAAATTAAATAAGAAATTATTAAAATAAATTATTTAAAGAGAAATATTATTATATACATATATTGTTATTTCAATTTATAAAATGTATCATATATACATAGATATATATACAAATACGATTTAACAATATTTACATTTTAAGATTTAATTTTACACGCATGCGTGTGTGTGCATAATTAAGATAAAAATGAGATAAAATAAGAAATAATTCAAAAAAACATATCACAATATGCATTCAAAATTACCTAAAAGCATTTTTTTTTATAAATGAAACAATGCACAATGATCACTGCAGCGTTGCTAATCAGACAGTTATCTGCTAATGTCGATAATCTCAAAATAGCCAAATATTGACAGATTGGTGTATAACTAGATTAAATGCATCACACTGAGCTAAAAAACTCTTGTTTTAAACCTCAAGAGGAAAAATTATCTTCTGCCACAAACTAAACAATCTTTATGCCAAGCACCCAGCGCTCTTTCTGCTTAAATACAGCTTCCATCCATCAACACTAATGCAGGGGTGGAAAATGGAAGAGTGGAGGAACTTTTACACTGGATTAGAGGAACGAATAGCCGTGGCATTGATTTTTCTGGGGTCTTTTAGTCAAAATGACACTGAAATCCCACAGATATCTCTCGACAGTCTGTGAATGGGGACGATGGGCTACAAAAATACCAGCAGCATTCAGACTGGGCGAGCGCTGCCCTGCAATCAGGTGCACTTTTCTGCCTGTCTAGAAAAAAAAATCAGTGGTGAACTTAAATGGCTTTCAGGAGGGCACGTTTTAAGATGTGTACTCTTCTCCCTAGGCGGGGATGTCCTCGCGGCACACTTGAGTGTTTGAAATGCAGAGTGCTTGCTCAGCCTGCCGAGAGCTGACCCTGCAACAACATCAAAAGCCTCAGATGAGGGTAATTGGAATTTAGATAAATATCACCTTCCCCCCTCCGTCTCTCCATCGCTCAAATGATGCCGGGGTAGCGGCGCCTGCCTATCCATCTATTAATTAACCTGCCGGAGTCGTAGCCCTGCGCTGCAGCGAGCGACCGGAAGACTGACGGGTTTGATCATAGCCCAATTTTTTCCTCATCGATCACAAAGGGAGCAAAGAGAATGAGGAAATTACTACAGCGGGAGAAAGTGGAAGAGGGGGTCCTTTTTTTGCTCATTTGGGTGCTTGTTTTTTATCGATCTGAAGTCCTTGTGAGGGCCCGCGCTTCAAGGACTGGGTGAATGAAGCTCTTAAGTGGAGCTGGCTTCATTTCCCATCTCTCTCGCTCTCGTTCGCTCTCACTCTTCCAGAGTACTGTACAAAAAGATGTTATTTTTTTGTTCACTGAATTCATCTTCCAAAAGCTAGATTATTTCTGCAAGGACAAGAGCCTCTAATTCATTCAACAATAATCAGCTACAATGGTTGCATTTTGATAGACCACAATAGATCTGGTTATTAGTATTAACAAAAACCTTAAATGGTAAAACTTGGTGGTAAAAATATGGTAAAAAAATATATAAAATGTATTATAGAATTATATAAAAATATTAGTGTTGTCAATAGATTTTTTAAAAATTACTAATTAATTGCACATTTTTTCTGAAATTAATCATGATGCGTTAATTGCGTAAAATATTTTTAACACGTTAAACTGGAAAAAAATTAAATCACCTGCATTAACGCACACATTTTGACGGCATTAAAAAATCTGATGAAATATACTTTTTGAAAAAAAAAACGAAATATACATATATATATACACACACACACACACACACACACACACACACACACACACGTGATTAATGTAATATTTAAGTGTACAAAAACAAAAATTCAATTTTTTATTATATATATATATTTTATAATATAATAGTTCAATAATATTGTCAATTATAACAAACTGGAACGTTTCTGAAAATAAATTTAAAATTAAAAATGGCCAATTACTGATTTTGTATTCCAATAGTAAAGTAGTAAAGTTTAATAAAGTAGTAGTTAAAAAGTATTAATAAGAGTAATAATAAAGGTAATAAAGTTTGTAATATTGGTTAACATACAAAATGCAAAAAAACTAATAAAAAAGTAAAAAAATGAATAATATTAAAAAAGGTTTATATATATATATACTGTATATATATAAGTGTTTATATGTTTATATATATGTATACGTTTATGTTATGTTATATTATATTACATTTTGAAAAATCAAAATATATCCGGCCAAGTAAATGTAACAAAGATGTGGAAAAATACATAATTAAAACTCATTTATATAGATTTCACATTTTGATGTCACAAAGTGTTTCGCAATAAAATACAAAAACCACAAAAACTAAATAATAATAATCAAACAAAACAAAAGCAGATGTAAACAGACGAGTCTTCAGCATGTTTCTAAAAATGTCCACGGATCTTAAGTCCATGGGAAAAGTGTTCCAAAATTTAGGAACTACAGCCTCAAAAGCACAAAATAATATAGAAAAAAGATCAAACAGAATTTTTGAGATGCCATAATCTTCACCATCCAGTCTGCAGTGCACAGCTTTCAGCCTC